TTTTCCTGTTTAAAACAAAAAAACAAAAAACAAAATATAAAGATGCAAAGTGAACCCACCATTGCCTATTGTTCTTACATTTATTGTGTAGAAACCCCTCCTGAGAGGCTATGGTTCTAACTATCATCTTATTCTGACAATTAAAAAATAGTTAGAGCTTTAAAAAAAATTCTTGGATAATTAATGGGGGCGGCATTAAGCTTTAGATTTCCAGTTTAGGTTCAATATCCAAGTCAAAGCAGATGGATTCCAAACTGGTCCAAACTTAATTAGACCATTTGGAAAGTTTTATATGTATATATATTACCAAAACTGCATTTTTTCAGGCTGAAACATGTTAGCAACATTCAGTATTAGTATTTTTATACATATTAATTGAAATAAGGAAATATATTCTGTGACATTAAAAACACTAGCATTTAACCATAAAATTTCATACAGTAATAATTGGAATATAAAATGCTTTACATGTGGTCCTGTAGTATAGTTTTCTAGGCTATGTGTTCATATGCAACAAGCAATACCATGTGGTTTCTGCAGTGTGCAGTTTATTACCGGTATAGTCTGTCAAATGATCATGTGGTTTCTACACTTGTTCTGTTCTGGCTATCGTCCCTTAGTCCTTCCTTTAGTATCTTACCAGGCACTGTAGCCAAAATTCAATCCCAAGGTGCATCACTCCTCCCTATGTAATCTACCTTCCCCTCCTTGACCCATGTGTTTCCCTGGGGATGACCTCTACCACCTGCTCTATTCTTTTAACATTCTTTAGCCAAGTGGCCAGTTACTTACTTACTCCCCTGCATACCAAGGCATGCTTCCAGTGACTTCTCCAGCCACTGCTGCCCATCCCACTCCAGTCATTCCCACCACAGCAACATGCAGCTGTTGGAAAACATGTCTTTATTTTTGCAGGGACCGAAGTGCTAGGGAGGGGCATCTCAGCAAGAATGTAAAGCATGCCATTCATTAAAAAGAAAGCTAGTGATTTCTTCTGCTGATGCACCAGCTCTCCTGACTGGATACCACCCCCAACCCTTCAGAGAATCCCACCTCATGCTAACATGCATTGAGCCACTGAATGTAGGCCCTTCGGCTTCGGCCACATGTGGCACTGCCCAGTCCCAACTGCACAGATACCTCCCTGCACATCTGTGACCACAGCTAGCTTGCAGCAGTGTACTGGAACAGTGAGAGCAGGCTGCAGGACTGTTTTCGAGGAAGAACATTTGCATCATGGCCCCCACCCCCACATCTCTCTGAAAGGTAGGTAGGAAGCCCAGGGAGGCCACTCTGCCATGGCCAGTACTAAGAAGTAGACTAGCAACCATGCTGCAATTGAAGCTCTGGGCTCCTGGCAGTACATCTGAGGGTAGTTCTACTGGGAAATAGTGGCACTGACTTCACACACCTGTCTGATGTGGGCGTCTGGGTTCAGAGGGGAGTGGGATGATACACTGGGCCAGTGTTCAGGTTCACCAACAGCACCTCTCTCCACATGGCATAGATAGATTGTCCTGAGACTATTTGATAGGGGACAGTACACAAAAGTTTTAAAATAAAAATAAGTTTTGTGCACCCACTCACTCCATCACACCTGGCATGATTGTCCTGCCCACTGCCTATCCCCTTTATATCCAAACTTAGTTCTGATAAGGCACCCCTGCTGCCAGAAGTGATACATGTGTGGTGAGGACTCTTTCAGTTTCCTGATTCACCTCCTCTGGGGGCTGCCCTGTGCTGGCGAGGCTGTGATCACCTTATTGTGCTGGTGTGCTGTGTCTACTGCTACTGCTTCCTCAGACAGCTGCCTAGAGCATGGGGATGGCAGCTGAGAGATCATGTCCATGCCTTCCTTCTCCAGATCCAGCTGGCATGTATTTGGGCTGTTGGTGCTGGAGGAATATGTGGTGGGGAAGTTGGATAATGAAGGGTGGGGGGAGGTTGCAGGGAAATAAAGCTGAATTCCAAAAAAAAGGGATGCTTTGTCCTATAGTTCTGAGGTGAAACTTAGTGCCAGGGGCAACTGGTGGACTGTAGAGAGTAAGACAGGCTGGGTAGCACAGAGGAAGAGTGCTTTCCTGGGTGGAGTAGAGCTTAACCTTTTGGTTGCGTAGGGGGCTTTCTGCCTGGTGAATGAGTGCCTGTCATGGGGCAGAAGTGCACTTTAGGATGCTGGAAGGGAGAGATGCTACTTCCTGAAGTGGAGGTGGGTGTGCTATCCTTTTGATCAGGGAGTAGCTGCAAGGGCTTGTTGTAGAAATACATGGTGCTGGGAGTCTCCCTGGAGTGCTGGTTATGCATGATGACTTCCTTGGGGGCATGCATCTTGTCTTCACAGTGGGCTGGGGTGTGGGAAAAGGCCTTCTTCCTCAGCCACATAGAGAACATTGGGGAAAGAATTTCATGGTGTTTGGGGCAGAACTGTTCCTGTGCCTCTGAGTTCCCCCATAGGTCACCATATGTGCCCACTTCATCCTAGGACCAGAAACAGGCACACACACCCTTGTAGAGCTGGACGGACTCTCCTTCTGTGAGGATAATTGAGAGGCTGATGTGCTCTAGGAGAAGAGGCTAGGGCAGTGGTGGAGAACCTATGGCATGTCGGGACGTGAACGAAGTTGCATCGAATAGCAGCGCACATAGGGGCCATGTGCATGCTCGGAAAGGAGTAACAGCACTAGGCCACGACTCATTAGCCACAATTCGTCCGAGCTTTCACATAGTCGGTCAGTGTGCTGCCAAGGCTGTGAGTTGTTTTTTCTAAACTAAAATTTCAGTTTTCAGGTTTTATTGCAGTATTGGCACTTTGTGATAAGTAAGTGGGTTTTGGGTCGCAGTTTGGGCACTCAGTCTCTAAAAGATTCACCATCACTGGCTTAGGGTTAGAAAAATGAGGTGTCCTGGCATGATTTTGGTGGTTGTTTAGAATGGGCAAAAATGATAAGCTGTGCAGAAAAAGCTACTCAAGGAAGACTTTCAAAATCCCTCCCTTTTCAGTGTAACTTTAGCCGTATACAGTAACACCTTGGATTGCGAGTGACTTGGTCTGTGAGTGTTTTGCAAGATGAGCAAAAACTTTTTCTAAATTTTAACTTGATAAATGAGCGATGTATGCAGTATGAGTATTACACGCACTTTGCCTACCGAGCGTCACATCACAACTAAGCGCTGGTTCTTCTTTCTCTCGCTTCGGGTGTGAGTAAAGCATTGTCTACCCCCACCCCCAAGCAGGCCCGTGATCTCATCTGCATGCCCCTGAGCATGCCCGTGATTGCGCCCGCCTCCTCCTGCACCCGCGATCATGCCCATCCCCCCCAGCACACCCACGATCATGTCCCCCCCCCGAGAGAGCCCACTTCAAATTTTTGAGATTAAAAAAATGTTACAGAACAGATTAACCTTATTACATTGAACCTTATGGGGAAATTCGCTTTGATATACAAGTGCTTTGGATTACAAGCGTGTTTCCGGAACAAATTATGCTCGCAATCCAAGGTTTTACTGTATTAGGGGTGTGCACCAGGGCAGGGTTCTGTCTGTACGTGAGCCAAGTCACCCTAGCATCACCCTGGCAGCCGAGCATTGGAAAACAATGCCCAGAGGGGCCATGCGCATGCTCGGAAAGGAATAGTGGCACCAGACAATGACATCATGAGCCACAACTCATTAGCCACTACTCATCCAGGCTTTCGCATGGTTGGTCAGTGCACTGCCAATGATATATATACATATTTGCTTGGACTGGCTGTGAGTTTTTTCTAAACTAAAACCTCAGTTTTCAGGTTTTATTGTAGTGTTGGCATGGTGAGGAGGTGACATGTTGACAGTACTGAGATATGCATCAGACAAGTTAGGAGTAGAAGAGAGGGTGGGAGACAGAGTGGGGGGCATCACTTTTTCAGGGAAAATACTTGCTTGGAATGCCCGGTGTGTTGCCCATATGCCCCCCATTTGTTGACACAACTTTGCAGAGAGTGGAAAAATGCTTTTTCCTGAAAAGCAGAAGCAGAGCAGCTCATGAGAGGCATTTGTAAGGACTTTAGCAACAGATAGAAATGCGTAACACAGCTGTTTCCAAGGAAGCTGCTTGAGGCAACACCAGACACTTCTCTGCTCCTGGTGAGAAGCCAAAACAACAGGTGGACATCTGGAGGATAGTGGAGAAGCCAGATGTGGGAGGCAATGCAGAGCAGCCAGTCAGAGTAATTCTGGTGTTGATGCATCTGTGCTAAACATAGTGGTGTAGTAGAAGCTGCAGGCAGGAGTAACTCCTGTTGTTGTGGCTGATCCTTCCAGGGGACTTTGTGGTAGATGCGTGGAAATGATGCTGCTAGGTTTGGACAATTGGAGAAGCCATGGTGAAGTCTGGAAACCACAGAACAGACAAATGTTTCTTTCCATGGTTTCTAAAAAACATGACAACAGAGTTTAAACAGACCATCATGACCTAAAAACCGCTGTGGCTTGTGTCATGCGAACTTTCCCTTGGGGTGTTTGGTGAAACCATAACACTGCATCTTGTTAGAACAATGTGGGCCTAAAAAGAGGAGGAAAGGGGATGTTCTGCATGAATGTTTGTGCTCATTACATTACATTAGCCAATTTGGAATCCAATATTGAAGCAGTATATGTCTCTAAATTTGGAAATGAATAAATGCAAGTATATGTGTTTCTTCACTAATGGGCTGTAAAGATTTTTATTGTCCTCACCTTCAGGGAGTGATGAATGCTGATAGCAGCATGATAATAAAGGTTGGATTTCAAATTAGCTCCTTAGAGAGTTCAAAGACACTATATAAATACTGCAATATATAAATATAGACTTAAGAAGGCCAGAAAAACACCAATTTGGCCAGAAAACAAGATAAAAGCTGTACTATATTGAACTGTACTATATTGACAGCCACCATGTATTTATATATGAAAATTGTGCTTGTTTGGAAAATATAGTTTTATTTTTTAAATAACATGTACTATCATTTCCCATTTATTTATAGATTCGTGAGTCAATTTGTAACTATGAGGCCTTCATGAATATTGTTAAAGTAAGTGACAAAGTAGGGGAGCTGGACGCAGTAAGAGATAAAGCAGCAGAAGAACTGCAGTATCTTCGATCTTTGGATACAGCTGGCGATGGTTAGTATCTTGTGCTTCCCATTTGCCACTTAAAACCATCATCATAATATACTATTTGTTTTTGCTTCATACAGCAACTTCCAAATTAAGAATATTCAGTAAGATAATGTTCATATTTAAACCAATCTTTTCAACTGTGTGTTGGAAAATACACAGTTGGTTTTGGTTCTTTCCTTTTTTGATAGATGGGTATTGAATGAATAGGCTCAGACTTTTCATAGCGTTAAGTAGTCATACTTGATTGGGATGTACCTACAAGGAATACAAAAGTTCATCTCTTTTCTGCAGTCATTCTTGGCATACTAAAAATGAAGAAGCTGCATTCATCTTTTGATTAAAATTATTTACCTAAAATGTTTTTTCTTGTGTAACACCCAATGAAGTAGGCCACTAGTGTTTTCAAGGAGTAAGTTAGGCTACTGGTTACTTTGGAAGTGGGCAGTGAATCTCCTGCTGGCAGCCTGTTGTCCTTGCTTCCCACCCAAAAGAAAAACCAGTTTCAAAAACATGATTGCTACTGAAATTCAAAGACATGCTAAAAACACTGAGAAAAATGGTGCTCAGGCTGGTTACAATCATAAAAAAAAATTGATTAAAATGATAGTAAAACAAGTGCATTAAAATGGTTTAAAAGGCAATTAAAACATGACAATAACAGAATAAAAACAGCATTCCACCACAAACCTGCTTACAAGCCAAAGTTCGGCTTGAATAACAAAAAATCTTTGCCCGCTGGTGGAAGGAGCAACAGAGATGGAGCGCACCTAGCCTTCCTTGGCAGGGAGCTCCAATGATCTGGGAGTAACCACTGAAAAGGGTTTCTTCTGCACTGGTACCAAGCACACTTCTGAAGCCAGTGGTTTTTCCTGAAGATCTTAAGACCAGAGAAGCTCTTATGGGAGAAGACAGTCTTTCAGTTAGCTGAATTTTAAGCTAAATTGTCTCTAGCAAGCCTCAGTAATGTTTGCTCTTTTTCTTTTGTTTTTGTATTTTTTTTATATTTATTTATTTATTTTGCTGCCGCTACCTCTGTACTAAACATGCAGCTCATCAGGGTGTGGGGAATCGGCCCACGAAAGGCCTGAAGTTGCCCAGCCTGATTTAAATGCACATAGGCACTCACTGAGTTCATAGCTAGCAGGTTCAATGACTCATTTTCAAGGTAACACTATCATTAGAAAACATTTGACAAGGTCTCTGTATATTTGTGTGTTCTGCCTACTTATTCTGCTTCTGGTGGTCACAGGACAGGGAAAGTAGCTATCTAAGGAAACACATGCAGTAGAAATTCTGCTTATTCTAAGGTTGGTTCATGAGCTGTCATAAGGGATTTTCCATATACTTTCAAGATAAAAACTGACTCATGGTTATGAATTATGAACGCTGTGCTTCATAGCTCAGTGAAAACATCAGAACACATATGCAGCCCTGTTGTGGGTTTCAACAGCTGAGCTGGGACAAAATAGACGTAAGGAAAGTTAAAGTGGCAAAGCACAAAAACAGTGTAAGTCCTCACTTTGTATTATCTGTTCCAGTATGTTAAATGACCACTAGCCTTTTATCCACTCTCTAGTTACCATGCCCTTCTTATGACCAATTCACTGTAGGCACTTGCTTACTCCATATATGTATTCTAAAGCAGCCCAAGCCAAGAGTGACTGGGTGTTGTATCCATCCTCTGACAATGACAGTATTTATTTAAATTAGTAAAAACACTAACAATTCCCTATGCTTGCAAATGATGATCTATATTGCCTCCTTTTTGAAAACTACAGTATTTATTTTTCTTTGCTGTACTCCAAAAATCTATTTAACTGTCTCCAGTCCTTTACATCTTATTTCTTAGTCCATTTATTTTCAGATATCAACACTATAAAAAATCAAATAAATAGCTTATTGTTTGTGAAGAAAGTATGTGATTCAAGAATAATGCGGCTGCAGTCAGGAAAAGTAAGTATGTTTCTTGGCTAGAATGTGTGAAATATTTAGGAAGATGTATAACATTTTACAAATTTAACAATGGAAGATATATTTTAAGATTTAGTATTCTTCATCACTTTCCCTGAAATAGCTTTATATTGATATGTGGATGGCTTGAATTCAGACTTCTCTCATAACATTCTAACATCAGTAGTAGCTGTATTGTATATTACTTTGCTTTTGAAGTCAGACCATTCCAGGCCTAGTTTCTAGCATTGTTAGCCAGCATTGTTATAGTTACCATTATGTTTGAGTGACTTCTCCAGCTCAATGAATCCATTAGTAATGCTGTTGATCAAATAACTGAATGTGAAGGTATATATAAAGTTATACAATGCCCAGTTTTGTTTCCGAGTTTTCCTTAGCTAAAATGTCTGTGGACAATGGGCATTCCCAATAGCTTGGCGTAACAATATACAGAGAATCACTTGTACCTACTTCTGAAAATGCTTCTATTTGGAAAGTGCAGGTTCTTTCTTGGGAAGATTGCATGCATCACATTACTAAAGCGGTCTTGATGTTGTCAATTATATTGATTTTAGGAACCTACTAATGAATTGTGATCTTTATCCAGGAAATAGATACTGTGAAACTGGCTGCAAATTTTGGAAAACTTTGCACAGTCCCTCTGGACAACATACTAGTAAACAATGTTGCACTACAATTTTTCATGGGTAAGAGCAGCCATTTAAAAATGCTGTTTTATGCACTTGGATAAAATAATTTCATAGGTTGCTATAAGCATGCAAGAATGAAAAAGAAAAGAAGAAATCACATTTTGAAACAAGTCTTCTCATCCCATATTATGTAGCACTGACTTCATGGTATATTGTGAACAGATGGCATTATTCATTCTTTGGCATATGAACTGTACAGTCCATCCATTCAGCCATTTTGTCTATTTTACAAGTAGCAACATTCCTTCCCTTCTAGTAGCGTGCGGAAAACAACAGATGGGGTTGGGTGCACACCTCATAAAGCAACTCACTGATAAATGGGAAGGTCTGGTGAATATGATAGACAGCATTTGGAAACTGGGCATCCCATTCTGCACTTCATGCATTATATTTCTAAAGGCTTAAAGATGGTTAGGAATCACTGCAATTCTTACTGGACTCTTCTAGCTTAGGGAAGACACCAGGATAGTTTGACAGTGATAGTTTTGATTCATTTTTGCTTTCTCTAGCAAAATTATATCATACACAGTTTCTGCCAAATCAAGGGGAACAAGGGCTTGGTAATCAGGTAAGGCAGTAGTCATGAAACCAGATAGCAAATAGAAGTAAGATCAGCAAAAAATAAGCAAATAAGATAGGCAAATTATAAACAAATGGAAGATCCACAACACCAAATAGGAGCAAAATTCCCTAGTAGTTTAAACTACTAAAGAAACCTAATCTGTAAGTTTTCCTTTAAAAATTGTCAGGTGTTAACACATTCTAAGTACTGGAATATTGTCAGAGAAACTGCTTGCTGGTTCATATGCTTGCTCTATCATTCCTTTCTTTTGGCATGATCTAGTGCTGGCACGCAATATGCATCTCCACCTAACACCACCAAGTGTTATTTTTCAAATCACAGTGCATATGTAACACAAGCAACTTCTTTTGAGTCAGGTTGTTTTAATTAATGCACAGTGTGCCCAAAATGAAGTAGCATAACCACAGCAATTCCAGTGTTCAGCTGATTTTCCCAGATGTCCCCTTTACTCAGCCTTCAGACCATTCCATCCTGACCACCACAGAGAGGCCTGACACTGGAACATTCCATTCCACAGCTTTCCTTCCACACATTTGCTTGGAGAAGTAGCAGGTGGAACAGTCCCTATCAAATCTGTCCTTGGTTTCCTTTCTTTCAAGTCTTCTTCCTGGCTTAGACTGAATGTTATCCTGGTCATATTGGTTTATCATTTATGAATATATTTTTGGAGTTCTGTTTTCTTAGTTGCTGTTCAAAATTGTCTCAGACAGGAATACAGGACTATGCACCTATATGCCACCTATAGTGTGGTCAAGTTAATTATCTTGCTCATAAGTAATTCATGTAATTCTGTTTATAAAGATGCTAATCAAAAATCAGGATCAGCATCATTTTGCTAATTTAATGTTGTTTACCTGCCACAATAGCATCTCGGATGCTTTTTTATCTTAATGCTATGACTGGGTTTTGATGATAATGATGACAATTTTGTAGATTACATGCAGCAGATGGGAGGCCAAGCGCATCTCTTTTTCTGGATGACAGTAGAAGGATACAGGGTTACAGCACAGAAACAGCTAGAAGTGTTACTGAGTCTTCAGAAAGATGGAATGCATCAGACTACACAAACCAAAGGCCTATTAAGAACAGCTGCAGTTGGAATTTATGATCAGTATTTGTCAGAGAAGGTAAGAATGATAAAGGAAAACCAGTATTTGAATTGGAAAAAAAGGAGGAAGTAAATTAAAAGCAGAACTTTGTACATGGGCAGCACAATTCTTTGGCCAGTAGAGAAATGTCTAGATGACCATCACTTGGTTTGGATTTCAAGCTGTGAGGTCAGAAAATCTGCCTCACTGCATACTTGGGTTGATCTTTGTCTCCATGCAGCTCCTACACTGTAATCCTCCAAGTACAGAGGGTTGTGGGCATCCTCATAGGATTGCACCCAAAAAATCTAATCAGTAAAGCAGTTGTCTTAATGTATAAAGATATTATCCTGCTTAACATACCAGATAAAAACTACAAAATGGTAAGATATTAGTACCATCTCAAGATGATTTCGTAAAAGAGATTTTTACCTGTTTTATTGGTTTATTAATAGTAAACTGTTCTGGTGTTATTCTGAAATAAGTTTATTTAGTGTTTGTCTCCTGGAAAATCACCAGCTAGTCCTATTTTAAACATCTCTTTGCTTGAACAGGAACTTTAGCCTTGAGCTGCTGACCAGCACACTGAAGTTTATTAAGTTTGCCTTTTCATATTTAAATACAAACTATAAAGAACCTGTTTTATGTGTTTCTATATCATCTTTCTATGTCATCATCCAAGGCAGTTTACAAAAAGTTAAAAACCTAAAAACAGTAGTCGCTGAAAAGCATTACAAAACATTAAAGACAACACTAAAAACCTCCACAATAATGTTAAATGTATGGTATCTATCTATGCATCTTGATTAATTTATTGATTGATTTCAAAGCACCGTCATATTCTAGACTTTCAATTGAATATTGATTTGGGAATTCCAACCCTATACCAAAATCCTTGGCCCTCTGAGTTTGCATTTTTAATTTTTCTGAAGGGATAGTTGCATGGAATCTCTTGAAATTAAACTTACTTTCTATTCATAAATACTGATTTGCATTCAGTGGCTGAAAACAAAACCATGATCAGTGATACTGCTTGAGTGCTCTCATGTAACTGTTCTACATCTGAAGGCAATGGAAGATCTAAGGTATATTCAGTAGTTCGATTAAATAATGGTTGAGTCATTAATTTCTGTTTTCTGTCTCTAGCTTTATTTTCTCTGCAATAATAATGGCTGAGTTTTTAATTTTTCCATATGGATGGCATTAAGATAAGGTCAAACAGTGCACAAGTTTATTTAGCTCTCTGTGGCAGGCATCTCCAAGAGTTAATATTGGTGATACCTTGGTAGCAAAGCTGGCAGAAAAACTGAATAATGAGGACCCAACTCCTGAAATCTTTGATGAGATTCAGAGAAAGGTATAATATGTTCGTATTCTATTTCATGGATATTGGATGGGAGTAGTTTGCTTAGGATTAATTTTGCTGATTTTATATTGCAATTCAAAATTATCTTGGAAATAATATTACATTATTTCCATCATATTCAATTTTCATAGCTTGCTTTCTAGGCATGATGCAATTCAGAATTTAGCAATCTCTTAATAGTGGTGTGCTTCTTACTAAACTAATCAACAGTAGGGCAAAGAGATTCCCTGGGTAGTTCAAATATTGATTAATTTCAGACATACATGAATTAATTTGCTAAGTGTGGTTTGGAGAAACCATAATTAGGTAACTGTGGACAAAGTGAAGGTGAGCTTTGTTACAAACAAAGAAGGAAAGCTTTAAAACATGAAGGGGAGAAATGTGGTCAGGTGCTTGCAAATCTACAACTCATCATGGCTCTTACATGTAACAGCCAACCATGTTCTGAATTGAGACACAGAACTTCACGACTGGGAATGCATACCTATTCAACATGCTTCCTTAAATGACAGAAGTGCCCTGCCACACTTAGGAGATATTGTATAATCTAATCTGATTGAGAAATACCAAACTTTTATTCCATAAGGTATATGAGTTGATGCTCCGGGATGAAAGATTCTACCCTTCGTTCAAACAGCATGCCCTTTATGTGCGAATGCTTGCTGAATTAGATATGTTAAAGGATCCTAGTTTCAGAGGATCTGATGATGGTGAAGGAGGTAAGTTGATTCCAAACTTTAATAGCTATGTTGATGATAATTTGTGATGCCCTTATCTTACAGCAGATAAAATTAGCTTACTATATGAATTTTGAATCTGTTCACATGTTTATTCTACCTTAACCTGTAGTCTCAGGATTTGTAACAATTTTAGAACAAAAATGTGTGGATGGAGTCCATTAAATGAGACAAAAGAACACATTCAAGCCTCCACCTCAATACTTGATTATCTTCAATTTCTCCAGTGCAGGCCAAACAAAATGCTTTTAACAGATGCCAGCCACCTATCAGTTTTAGGAGAAGGAAATTTCATCAATGTAAAATTGTGTACAGTATTATTATCCATGTGTCTTTAATAAGTTTCTCTGCTCTAGAATATGAACTTACCATAGGACTTGAACTCAAAACTAAAATCAATTTTGGTTGTATTAACTATGTGTTACATAATGCTTCCATTATGTAATTAACTATGTGTTTACATAATGGAAGCCAAATAAACATCATATAATTACCTAGATATTTTACAAAGTGTATTTAAATAAAATGATGATAGTCATACTTTCTCAAAGCCTCTTCATAAATCACTTTGTGCAAAAAGTAGTCATGAGATTCTCAGTTGTCTAAACCAAGCTGCACTCAAGCATAAATTTACATTATTTGTCCCCCTTTTTGGTTTGTCAAATAGCATATTAAGCTAATCCAATTGTATGAAAAATTGTGTATACATGCTTCAGTAATATTTACTGTTGTAGTTTGCCACTTCATAATTCTAAGAATGAAAACTTTTTCAAAAGAAGTTAAACAATGGCAATTGCCTTGTGTTTGCTGTATATTCATGTTATTTACATATTCTGGGAAATCACAACCAGTGCAGCAGAATAGACATGTGTGATTAGTAACATGCAACAGTCTATACATAGTTTATATGAATTCCTACATTGACTTGTTCTTTGAACGGAAATGTATCATGTTTTAAATAATCCCAAGACATTTTATTTTGTAACCAATATCTGCTGGCTTTCTTGTTAGATTGGATCAAGTAGGTTTCTGCCTGTGAGATCGCATAATGCAAAGATTGAATTGGTTTCTATGAAGATATACCACTTGCATTTTATTTATTTATTATATTTATATGCCACCTCATATCTCAAAAGGCACTGGGTGGCTTACACTAAAAACAATTTAAAAAAACAATGTAAAAGTCAATTAAATAAAAACAATTAAAAAATGAACGCCTTTAAAACTTCTGCAGTGATTTAGGACTCTTCACTGGTCTTGCTAGCCATGCCTAAAACTATGGTTGCTAAATGCTTCACCCAGCCTGAAGGTTGGACACAGTTACTGTGCAAGAGCGAAGGCATTCATACTAACTTTTCCTTTGGGATGGTTAGCTGGGTACATTCCTGCTTCATCCAGTGCTTGGCAAAGGGGATCTTTCCAATGGGAAGGAGAGATGGGGAGACTACAGGTTGATTCTGGTATGTTGAACTTCAGGGCCCAGTGCACTGGCTGAAAGCTGTGCGCCTTCCTTTCTGTCCTGTGAAAAAATGAAATTGAGCTGAAGTTTGAGTCACTGCCTTAGTACTGGACACTGAGTGGAAGCCTCATCCTACCTGTCTCATCTGCATGAAACAATGTAGGGCAAATGTGGTTTCAGCAGATGCCGGGCATTTGAACTTTGTGCCTCAGGGCCAGCCAAAATAATTGGCATGTGCCAGGCTTCTGGATGAGTGAAATTGTTGAAGTCTGTACTTTTTCCTTCACTGCTTTAGACAAACATGGCTTCTAAGAAGTGGGAGTATTTATTTTTATAGTTGGATTCTTTTTCTCTCATTCTTTCTTTCTATAATCATTCTATACGTAGAAATGGGCAAATATAGAAGTGTTCGTTGCTGCCTCCTGGTGGTATATGTTAGTAATACAGTTGAATTTCTCTTAAATTTAAAAAGATGTCAAGGCTAGGATACTTAGTCATAACAACCTTAGCCTATACTAAGCTTTATTATTCTGATCTAATCTGAAGTGGTGTGGTAGATGCAACTTCTAGTATTTTCTTCTTTAATACTATTTTGACCATAAATTTTCATGCTTCTTTGTTTTAATTTGTTTCTTAAACCATTTGTATAATCATCTGATTACTCTTTATGCTCAATTGTATGTACTATTTTATTTTTTCATTCATATAATCAAAATTAACTATTTAACTATGAATACATCTCTTTGTCTAGGGAAAAACAATTTGATTAAAAGGGGAGGTGTATATTATACTTCCCTAATCTGGACTTTTAGCAGCCTTCTGTATCCAAGGTGTATATCCACTGATACCATACTTGTATGTTCCAGGTCCAAGTATTATGAATTATAAGGTAGCACATACCTATACACATAGTACCTCCCATTACCAAATGTAAAACTCTAAAAATGTAAAATTGTATGACCCTTTGATTTTACAATGATCCAATGCTCCTGTAAATTGGATGGGGTGTGCTTTTCTTGACGAGAGTCTCAGGAATGAGTGGGATAGGTGGTGGACACCAAGAAGTATCAGGCCCATACTTGAAAACTGCAAGGTTTCGCCACAGAGAGAGTGATGAAGTCACAGTCCCTTTTGGCAAGCAAAGACCTCTTTGCGGCTTTGCTTTGTGCTTGACAGCTTGCCATCTGACAGCTGGCAAGTGAGGAGCAAGGTAGCAACATAATTTATTTGGCATTTTGCTTGGTCAATTGCCTTGTCTGGCACCTACTGCACTTTGACTACAGGCATTTACTAGGACACTGAGCAAACAGGAATTACCATGTTGGTCACTCACACTTGCCTAGATCCAAAAGACTGGAAAAAATGTTTCTGGTACCTAATAATGTTAAGAAGAAAAAGGTTGCTAAGAAGTAACTGTTGCCACAGTGTGCCACTTAGGCATGTTGCTTGGGTTGGAAGTGGATGTTACTGGCAAAGTTAACAAGAAGGTTTGCAAAAAGAGAAAGAAAGCCATGGTGAAAGCCACTGAAAGGGGGTTGTGAGCAGAGCAAAAAGATCAAGTGAATGATGATTAGTTCAGAAAGCCACTTCAGCATTGCTGGACTGGCAGTCATGGACAGGGGCCATCAAGTACAACAAGGAAGTTTTGCTGTTCTTGTCAGGTGGCTTGCTCATCACTTTGCACAACCCATGATGGGGTCCATCTTCCAGGTTTGGCTTCAGCAAATCCTAGAACAAGCCATGGGTTGTCAGGATGGTTTCTGGCCTCAAAACAAGCTACCCTAAGGGGAACAGTCCAGAGTTCTACAACATCTTACTATGACTACTTATGGACAATGGGTTATCTTATGTGAGCCCAGTTCTAGATCATAATGCAGCCATGCTAATGAAGAAATCACAATGAAAAATAGAAATTATTTCTTTCCTTAATATTTTCTGTGTAACCTAATTATTTTTTTATAATTTGATGTACATGTCTCTTTCTTGGCAGAATCATTTAATGGTTCTCCTACAGGCAGCATCAACTTGGTAAGTGTTTTTTTAATGTAACTTTTGTTATAAATATACACACAGACAAAACATTATGCACATTACTTAAAGTCACAGCTACAATTAAAACTAATACTCTCCATACAGTAAGCACACTAATCCTATTTTTCCATCATACAGTATTTTCAGAAAGCTAAACCAACATGGCAAAAGCTCTGAATTGATTAACGTCCAAATCAAATTACTGCTTCATATAAATAATAAATGGCACCCAGAGTTGCTCAAATTTATGTTCTTTCTGTCTAGCCTTCCATAGATGAACAAATTCTTTTTACTTAACATTGAAGTGATATGCCGTCTTTTATCAATCTATTCTTCTGTAGAAGGAATAATAGAAAGAGTAATAGTTTCCATTTGGTAGCAATAACTAATTTAGCAATGGTAAAACAATTTTCCACCAATTCGACATGATCACTTTTAACAACATATTTTATATACCCAAGTAACACACAGATAAGATTCATAAAGATGGAATAACCAGTCATATAATTCATGAGTCAGAACTTTTTCCCAGGTTTTTTTTTACAAGTCCACCATAAATGGGAAAAAAAAACATTATTTCCCCCATGTTTCCAAAGAGCATTACTTACCTTGGGATATATACCTGCCATTTTTTCTGGTGTCATATACCAACAATATATTTTACTTAATCAATTATTTTAAGTTGACACATGAAATTGTAAGACCATTCTGGAAGGTGCAGTTCCACTGCTCTGAATAAATCTTAAACTATTGTAACTTAAAATAATTTCTTTTATCATAACAAATAATATCTGACAATTTCTTAGATTTATCCCCTTGGTTGATTACCTTTCTGAATACAGCTAGTTCTATACCCACGTTTCCATATGTCATATATTTAGATAAGAAGTTCTGTACTGATGATACTGAAACCATAAAGATATTCTTGTTCCCTTTTTACATTCTCGTTCATTAGATTGCTATCTTTAATCACATCTGTAAAAGTCGTAATTTTATGTCTAGACCATTCTGTTATATTACCAACTAGTTGAAATTTGGTATAATATAAAAAATATTACAACAGAGAAACTTTACAAAGAAGCATATCCTTATACTTCTCCCAAACTTGAAAAACAACTGTTTTAGTAGAGATGGGTTTAAGAACATTGCCTTAGAGTACTTCTGACATGCCCAAGGTAAATGGTGCAAAGGAATTTTAGCTTTCTCAAGATTAGGAGCAGGTGAACCATCTGTATCATCTAGTGGTTTTTCTACAATACTGAAGTTATGACACTGTGATGTTAATTTAGTTGCATGCAGGGCAGCTGTGTTAGTTTGCTGCTTATTTCTGTAAGAGAAATTGTAACTGTGGCTGGCTGTTTTTCCTCTAGTCTCTGGATGATCTTTCAAATGTGTCTACTGATGAGTCCATACAACTGCATGCATATATTTCAGATACTGGTAAGTTTAGTAATGACAGATCTTTTTCTAACAGCACTACATCTTCTAACATTTGAGCATATTCTTCTTATTTATATATTGTGTCACCTTTTTCAAAAACCTTAATTAACACTGGAATCATTTCTCATATCTAAATCTTTAATCATTTTTTCCTCATGATTTTTGCTTGCTGTGTGCAATTATTAGAATGTACAAACTCCAGGCTAAAATTGTACCTAAATTAATGTTATAGCCCAGATTTTGGCTTTTGTTTTACTTCTTATCAACTAACTCCTATGCCATATTTCTCTGTGTTTCATAAGCAGCATGGATAGGCTGCTGCCTCAAATAAGTAGTTTTATAAGCCCCCTGGACCAATGGGACTGGCATCATGGTTCTTTGGATTCCAGTTGTTGCATTTTTTAACTTTCTTGCATTACCAAAAAGTGATTTAGATGTGCCTAAATTCCCTGAATTCACTACATTATTCAAGATTAGACTTTGTCTTGTTTTTTTATTTAATTTACAGTAATACTACCTTTTAATTGCACATTTTAAATCTTTATGTAATTTGTTAACATCTAGCATTCATCCTCCATTTTCATATATCAAAGATTTGTGGTGTAACATGTGCAAATACTTTTTGCTAAATAGTAGAGTGTTAGGTTTCACATCTATGGTATGGCAAATGATGCTGTTATTCTAAGCACACATACTAGGATCCATTTATTTCAATTCATTTTTTAAAGAGCTGAATCCATAAAAGCCAATTCTTATTCCTGTACTAACTGGAGAGGAGAAACTCCATACCGATAGCAAAAATGGCTGTCAGGCCACCCAAAATAATATGACTGCTGACAGTGAAGTGCAAAAGGTGCATTCCTGTATGCTGTGGTGGCCAGAGAGCCACATTCAGCTCTCATATTGGGCCATCCCACACATCACTGGATTAAGAGTGGGAAGCTTGCCACTCCCTCCCATCAACACAATATGCACAGCCCTATCAGCCCCAAAAACCACCTTGTTTGAATGAACCAGTAGCAGAAAATAGCTGGGACCAGAGGCTTTTCAGGCAAAGTACCATAGTGATTTCTGTCTTTTTAGCTTGAAATTGTTTCCATATTTGGCTTTGTATCCAACTCGGGGCACAATCCAATACACCTTGCCCTCAGTGTACCTACGCTTCTGAGCTTGGAAGCTTATATGCTTCCAGTGCGTGAAGGAAAGTTTGGTGGCAGCAGTTCTTGCCACCATGCATTGTGCCCTGCATTTCATCTAGGCATCTAGACAACATTCATCTAGATGTTTCCAGCCATCTAGATGAAGCAGCATGGAGTGGGAGAGAGGAATTCTGAAGTGCCATTTGGCTATGGCAGAAGCTGTTGGCTCCAGCCTCTTCTGTTCTGACCTCATGGCATGCACCTGAAGCCAGTTTGTGACCTTAGGCGGGCAGCTGGCACAGTTCTTTCTGTACCACTTGAGGAGGGTGGCAAGATGTGGGCTTGGCCTTTGGAGTCCCAGTACTGAAGCTGCAAAATCTCTGAGCTGAAATTCTGAATAATCCTATGACCCCACTACCTGACATTGTTGGAAGACCATGGGACCAAGCCTTTCATGGCTTTGGTAAATGGTATTTGCTTAATCTTCTTTCTGTGGAGCTTTTTGTGTGGGTCTAAGCCATACAAAGAATGATCAATGGCAGTCCCGGATGTCCTTTCTTCCTTTGTTTCCTCTGCTGTGGCCAAGAGAAGCAGTTCAGAAATTTCTGACTGTTGCTTGTGATCAACTATAGCCAAGTGATCTATCCAACCCTAATTTTCAAAACTAAGTTATAGTTAGTGTTTGAAAAGATTAGTCAAATCAAACCAACTTCAGATCTTGTTTGTGAAATGGACTGTTTAAGAGCAGTTTATGGTTGTAGCATACATTAGACTATAGTTAGTTAAAATGAATAGCTTCCGAATTCAACTTGGCAGTGTCTCAGCGGATGAGAAGGATTCACAGACTCAGGGCTGACAAAGGCTCATTCTTGTAACATAAAGAAGTGGTTACTGAAAATAGTTAAACAATGCACAATTTCAGGAAATTCATCTGTACTGATAGTGTAATATTAATATAAAAGCAATTAATTTTGACATGGTTCTATTAAAGAGGTGTATCTTGTAGAAAAAAAACTATATGCTTTGAGCATAGATTTTCTTCAAGTATCAGTAATGTACTGATGTGCTTCTTTGCATGGGGAATGCTGGGAATTGTTGGAATTTTCCTATATAAATATGCATAAGAGTACATCATTAAGCACCCCTGTAAAACATTTATTGGTTTATTATCTTGCATAAAGCATGTATAGTTCATTATTTCCAAACTTTTTTGTAGAATAAGATTAAGTACCTTATCAGTGAATAAGAGACCTGTACAAAAAGTCACTGCAACTGAAATACCACAGTCGGGAGAGACAGAGGCAATAAATCTCAGAATCCCTTCATTGTTGTTAGTTCACACTGAAGGAGCTTAATCCTAACTGCTAAAAGTTAGTTCACATATAAAATAGTTGCATTAAAGTTCTGGGAAAGAATGTTTAACAGCTGTAAGTCATCTGTCAAAGAGATTTTTGCAAAGATTGTTCAAAGATAAGTACAAGAAGCTACTCACAGCTGATTTTGGCTACTCACTGGTGGGACAAAAACCAGTATGATGAGTCCAAGGTATTAAAGGCCTTTATAGGCTAAAAATAGAATATTGGATTATGCCCTGAGAGGTACAGGAAGCCTGGGTATACACAGGGAAATGGGCCAACTGTTCTTTTGATGCTATATCGAAAGATGCTATATCAACCTTAGGAGGTTGAGTGGAATAAATTTATGCCAGTTGATAATTCTAAGCAACCCTGCAGAACAGCTGAACATACTTTCCTCTCTCGTCCTACTCCCCATACTTTTCAATGGGTTATAAATTACATTTTTAATAACTCTGGTAGTTTTTAAATGAAAGGCTTCTGCTGAAGCATCTTTTAAGTAGAAGATGCTACTTAAGAAGGTTTATACACAGAGAAGTGGTTTGCATGTCCATTTTGTTTCCACTTCTTTCATTTCCAACATCTTTTCATTTCATCTTTCTTCTGCCCTTTCGTCTTCCTCCTCTTTTTTGTCTCTCTTCTCTCTCTCTCCATTTTGTTTGTTTATTTGTTTTGAATTACTAGTCTGTGCTGATTATGACCCATATACTGTGGCAGGAGTTTGTAATGATCATGGCAAGACGTATGCGCTATATGCTATTACTGTTCGCCGTCGAACTCCAAATAGTGATGAAGCATGGAAAACATATCGTCGCTATAGTGACTTCCATGATTTTCATATGAGGATCACTGAACAGGTAATGATTGAAATTAATGTTAGTGTGGAAGAAATGGAATGGCTTCTTGTATTAATACTTACGTAAAATGTACTAATTTGATTTCAATTTAAACTCAGGCCAGTTCTGCGCACCTTATATATATTAGTTAAGAACTGTGCTTAACTAATTGTTAGGCTGGACTTGGCTAGTTAGTAGCCCAGATCTTGGTACATCAGTATGCATGCCTCCACAATTCTAAACGTACATTGCTAATTTTAAATTACCATTTGATCTGTTCCCTTTATCTGGCAATTACTGAAGGCTTATTTCTCACAAACAGCAGAGGATATGAAATGTTATTTGAGCATTCTGCTTCAGAATTGAACAGAAAACTTTCCTGCACCCTGAAAAGAGCATGTTGGAAAGAAAGCTGGTCCAGAACCCCGATCCCTGATATTTGGTTTTCTTCATGTAAAGAATTTATTTTCTGTGGAAGAGCACTGCAATCCTACATCCGCTTGGGAGTAGTGGGGTTATCTCTGAGTAGACATGTATAGTATCACAGCTGTAGTCATACTTAAGAATTTCCAGTATACATCTGCCCTGGACCTGATATATACTAGTTAACTGTATAGCAAGTCATAATGACTGTAAATACTGATTAGAGTGTTTAAATATATGTTTTGCTCAATATCTTTTTCTAGATTGAAAATCTAGCAAATCTATTGAAACTTCCTGGGAAAAAAACATTCAATAACATGGACAGAGAATTTTTAGAAAAAAGGAAGAAGGATTTAAATTCGTACTTGCAGGTATGTTTTCATACTCAGTTTTTCATTAAGAATGTGTAATATTAGTCATCCTTGCCATCTTGTACAATTGGTTAATAATTACAAAGAAAGTCAGAGTGGACTTTATTACTGAACTTTAGAAATCAATCTTCAGTAAGCCAGATTAATTTAGATATAACTGAAACATAAAAGAGTGATAAGATTCCTTTGGCTATAATAATATATTTGGTAATAGTGATTAAGTTCCCAGTATTGGGGCCTTAAATAATTTGGAATATTGACTAAAAACTTGTTGGAAAAAAACACAGAGCATATGTTTATATGACATACTGGACCCACCCTTGCTGTTGGATGCTCAGATAGAGGACATGGCAAGCAACCTTCGCTCAACTAGGGCTGGTATTCCGACTGCAACCATTTCTGATGACAGTGACAGTTCCTTGGTTATTCTGAAATTGAACTATTATATTGCACTGTATGGGCTGGTTTGCACGTAATGATAAAGCACCCTGTAAATAAGCTTTGGTGCTTGTTTACTCACTAGTCCATGTTACTCTCAGCAGACAGTTGGCCCTTCTGTGGCTTGGCATGGCTTATTTCCCCTTAGTACTCCCACCTGCTTCCAGCTTGTATCTCATGGGTCAATTCCTCATATATCCACACACATGAAAATTTTCAGCTTCCCCCTATTCTGATTCTTTTTCTATGAAGTTTATTCCCTGGTATTTTGTATGCAAACAGTTTTGTTTTTATTTTTTAAGAAAAATTCTTGTCATTCATATTTGCATTTAAAGCCCTATTTGTGCAGTTAGTACACCCATTCTCCTGTAGTACTTGCACTCATCCAACCCAATAACTGTTGTCCCATTGAGTCACCACTTTCAAAGTATGGGCTCAAGGGAAGCACAGATGTCGGGGAGGAAACTGATAAGCGTCCGTTCAAGCTGTCAGCTTCATGCTCACAGTGTATTACAAGTGGAATTTCGATATGTACTGAGAAGATACTATTTCTGTTCTGCTGAAGAAAGTAAATCACAGAGGGTGATATGAGCAGTTGTGAATTACAGGAAATATACCTATTAGAAACTTTAACCTTTTTGCATACAAAATGCCAGGGACTGGGGCTTTGTTTTGTTTTGTAAAAGTTGCCAAAGAGTTATGGACAATGCAAATTGTGATTTCTCTATTGGTGGAGGAGTAGCCAGCACTGACAAGGGAGGGTGGAATAGCAACATAGTGAGGAGTGGCTGCATTTTTTGCTGCTCTTGCAAGGTAGCTCTGTTGCCGTTTGTAACAAACCATCATGCTGAGTTTGCACAAAGGACCGTGAACATGGTTAACAAACCACAGATGTCACAATAAGCCACAATCCTGTGTGGTTTTTTGTGTCATTTGAACCTGAACCATCTACAGTTGCCTTTGAAGTATTCAGAAGTTTCAGCTGATCTAGAATGAAACAAATGTTCAGTTACATTGTTCTGTGAGCATATGACATGTATATTAGTAATACATTGATCATCTGTGCATTTCACATATGTGCTGTGTGCCTTCAGGGATCCTCAGTTTGGGAAACCTTTGTAGCAGAAGAGTTTAGATAGGAACCCTTCCTCCAGCATTCTAATGTACATGTCCCCAATAGGGGACCTATTCCTTCATTTCCTTTTTAACTGCCATTGTGGTTGACTTGTGAAGTGAACTTTTTCATCTTTAGGTTCCTAAATCTAAAATTTAGCATTTGAAGCTAATAGTCTTAAAAATAAATGGAAAGGATCTGCGTCTATGTGTGTTTTTTTAAACTAAGGGTTTTTTCCAGCAGTAATACAACAATTCTTTTAGCTTGCAGTTTTCACTTGAGAACAGAACTAGAAATACTACTTGGGGTGGCAGCTGTAAGGCAAATGGTTTTAAAATGGCCTGTATAATGTTGTTTACACTTGTATTGTAAAATATATCATGGCTCAAGCCACAGTATTCTTAACCTGAAATGTTATGTGATGTTACTTGCATCTTTTACTTCTTAGCTTTTGCTTGCTCCTGAAGTGATGAAAGCATATCCAGCTTTAGCACACTATGTATATGACTTCTTGGAAAACAAGGCATACAGTAAAGGGAAAGGAGATTTTGCTCGGAAGGTAAGAGTGATATCTATTATCTAGAAGCTTTGTGATAGATGTGGTACTAGAATTTTGTGCACACTAAATCACCACAGTCTGTTTTTAATCTGAACTGTGTGACATGGTTGTATAATTCGTATTGCACCATTAATGTACAAAATAGTCACTTGGCATGTAGATTAATTAATTGGTATCAAGTCAATAATCCAATTAAGAAATTATTGAAATAGATTTATGTATTTATTGTCAAAGATACTAAATTTCCCAAGGAGGCTCCTTGCAATACAGTGTTTTAAAATAGTTCAGAAGCTGCTTTTTCCCTAAAATGCATCAGGTTCTTTGAAAGCTGGTAACATTCCTTCCCATTTATCTATCCTGAAATCCTCTGCCCATTTCAGGCACCACATGCTTCATGACTTCCATCTACCTGCTGAAGAGAGAATGCATGTCTCCCTCTAAGACTGCTTTTTGAGGCTGTTTCACTTCAATAAAACCAAAGAAACTATGCACAAAACTTTCAGAAACAACCTTTATCAAAGCTGATCATTTAGCAGTTGTGCTTGTACAGATCTCTTTGCAGATTTTCCATGCACAGTTATTCCTTTTGTCTGAACCATTCCTTTTTACAGATAGCTATGATATTTAATTTTCAAAAAAATCATTAGAGATTGAACTGAAGTGAATATGCTCAAGAATATTTGTGTTTCCATTACTTGGATTGTTTTAAAACTATTCTTCTTGAATACAGCAATTAAATTCATGTGCTTGTGCTATTTTGCTATTGACTTATTGTGCTATAGTGTTTATATATTTCCATTCCACAATGTGTGGTTTTCTTGTTCAGTGATCAAGAATCCCTTGATCACCTTTCCCTAGAAATTCTTGAGGGTAGACTAAAGTCCATACATTCTCAAAATACTGCCTTTTTGACTTATAGAAGTGATAAGCTTTAAATGTAAACTGTATAACTGTATTGGAAAGAAATGTTTCAATTATACATGAGCCTTAATTGCAAATCCTATGTATATATCCCAAATGTCATATAGTCAGTGAGACAGTAATTCAAATACCCTTTATTTATTTGTTTATTAACAGGGATTCCTGAGGTATCTAACACTTTAAGAACATAGAAACATCATGGTAATACCGCAACAGAATTTAGCAGATGAAAATGGTCAGCAAATTCTGTTCAGTACAACAGCAAGCACTGAATAATATTAAAAACTAAGGAAAAGGGAAGTATTCTAACAGGCAAAGGCTAGGTATTTCAGAGGTGAAATGCTATGAGCAGAATAATCTCCTCTCTTTTCACTATCCATATTTGTTCAAGAAAAGTATTAATAGTAGGGCCTTTGAAGCACTAAGAGGATCATATGGGAACAGATTATTCAGTTCCAATTGCAGGTTGCTTTGCATGTTGTAAGGCAAAACCAGTACTTAAATTTGTACCCAGGAACCAGTTGGTAACCAAAGTACTTCAATACTAAAAGGACATGTCCTTTAGATCTGATTGGAACTCTAGCAGCTACATGCCTCAGTAATTCTTTTTCCCAGTCATCAAAGACAGTCCCAAACAGAGCTCAGGAATTGAACCAAGATATTATCAGGGCATGGATGACTGTGGACTCATTGTTCCAGAAATCAGCTAAAACTGATGATTATACAAGTTCAGTAAAATATTTGAGCAACTGAATATAACCTGTTCATTTTAGATGTTTGAAAAGACTCGATGCTATAGGCTGCTGTGCACCTGACATGTAAAGTAGGCTTTCTTACTTGCAAGCACTCAAATAGAAACACATGCTTCCCTTTTTCTCAGTTATTGCATCCTGTCTTGTTCCCCAGATAAGTCAGTTTAAAAACAGCACCTCCTGGGCTGATATTAGCATAAATCACTTTAAACTGAAAAGTTGATCACTTCTTATATCTTGTATGAGGCAGAGCCCCCACTCCTCCGTATTTGACTTGAAATAGATTGTAAACAAGTGAATTACATGCAACAGAAATAGATACACTATACTGATTAAGAAACTCCTGTATGATTATTCAAGACGGGGGTCTCCTCTGAAGCTTAACACCACACTTAATAAATCATTCAATGCAAATATGAAGTAAATAAAGATCAAGAGCAGCAGTATATTCTAGGCGTGGAAATAGAGTTTAGAGCAATTACTCAGGTTACATTATGTAGGTAAATCAGTTTGGTGTCATTATACATTATGATAAACATCAGACTTTTACCAGAAACAGCAGCCCCATATTAAATTCTTTTCCTTTCCAATGTATAGTGGAAATTACTTGTATTCTGATGTCATAACACAATGTGCTAACCTCTTTCTACTTTATTGTCTGGATGGACAGACAACTTTATACTTTCAGGTCATAGGCTAGTTCTACAACATAATCCCAAGGCATCTGTGTGTCTGTGTTGGCAAATCTTACATAGGCTGCTGTCTTCAGTAGCGGGACTCTGTTAACTGAAACTTGTTATTCTGCCCTTACTGAAACATAATAATTTTCTACTAAATGCATATCATCTTGCCCTTTCAAAATAACATAATATACACAAAGAATAACTTTTGCCTCCATTAAAATATTCACTCTTAGTATTTGGTGTGCAAGTTTTGTTGTTGATGCTAGTCGCGAAGTTGCATCCGACCCATCGCGACCCCATGGACATCATTCTTCCAGGCCTTCCTGTCCTCCACTATCCCCCAAATGCAAGTTTTAGTGGGACAGCAAATATTTCCTCTCTTTAAATTATCCCAGTCCTTCCTTCCCGTTGCAGCGCTTTATAGCTCAAAACGAATGAACGAATGAATGAATGTATCTGTTGAGGGTCAAAAGTCTTTCTGGAATGATGTGGCCTGTGTTTGAGGAACTGCAGCTGAAGGTGTCAGAGACCTCATCTTGTGCAAGTTGTTGTTCTTTTTGCTTGTGCAAGGGGCTTTCTGGTACTTGCACAGCAACTTAAGTAAAAGGCAGGTCCTTACCCTAAAAAGTTTTCTGGCTGATTTTAAATCATGAGTAGGTTGAGATATCAGTCTCTGGATTTGCCTTATGGATGCTTGAATTCATAAAGTGAAAAAATGTAGTAATGGTTTTGTATTGCTGCTCTCCAAAACAGTGTGAAATTTTCAACCCACATTATTGGATGACTGTAGTCATATCCTCATAGACTTATGCAATCGTGGTAAATGTTTTCCTCTTCAGATGGACACATTTGTAAATCCACTGCGTAACTCTATGAGAAATGTTTCAAATGCTGTCAAGTCCTTCCCTGACAGCTTCACAGAGGGGATGACTAAAATGTCAGACAACATGGGCAAAATATCAGAAAGATTGGGACAAGACATAAAGCAATCATTTTTCAAGGTAAGAATGCATTAAAGTAACACACAAAGGGCTCGGTTCCTTTTTTGGGCCACCTCATTTAAATAAGAACACAACTGCCACAGTGCTTGGTAGCAAATACATTAATGTTGTTGCCATGTTTTGTTTTGTTTTTTAAAGCCCCAGCAATCCTGAAATATTATTTTTGGATGGTACAGATTTATCTGTCAATAGAAAAAGCTCCTATTAATTGAATTATGTCCTTATTAGCTACTTGGTTTCTCTGAATTTATAGGCCTGTCTTCATGTAGGTAAGCAAGAAGGAGCAAAATTAGAAGAGGATCAAGTCGGAGGAGGATTTGATAAGAGTAGTTGTGTGCCAGCAGGGCAAGTAGACATGTATGATATTAGATCAAACTGTGGTTATGTAAAGTAAGTAAATGGATAACAGCTGTTGCTTTGAAGCAATTTACTTGTCAGTAAAACACTCCAGAAAGGAGTACTATATGCCACATGGTATGATATGGTATGATATATGAGATGATTGATATATAGGTTTAAACTATTTTTGTTTATATGTCCCACACTCCCAGGATTCCAACTTTAGGTGTCTTGCTATTCAATAACAATATCAGATAGGGAATTGGAATCATTCCCAGGTTTGTCCTGGCTATTCTCCTTGGTGTAATCCTGTTTTGCATTTAACCTACTAACAGAATTTAAGATTTTTTCAGACCTCATCTAAGTATTAACAAGGGAGTGCTGTTATGCTAAAGAGGGACTCTATGTTTCATGAACAGCACAATGAGAAATTGTATGGAAAAATCCTGTGGGATTAGTTTTGTTAGAATAATTTAGCTGCTACATTGGAAAGCTTGTTTACTATCAAAACTAACCACTCTGAAAAATGGTATGTTTGGCAGCAAAAGTCTATCTTATCCATGGATTGCACTCACACTCATATATTCTTTCATTTTGATTTACCAAATTAGATGTTTTCCAAGCCAGAAAAACCTCTTTAATGCTGATCTGAAATGTTATTTTAGAGCTGGCTCTTGACTGAAAATGTACATTCTAACATTTTGTGCCTCTCATCCCTTGTTTAAGAACTTCAAACAAGTGCACAGAGCCTGTGCTTCATTATCAAATACTATCAGTTTTGCAGCCCTAAATAATGTTGGTTGGTTGGTTCGTTTGTTTATTTCATACATTTATACCCCGTCCTATCACTTCAAGCGCTCAGGATGGCTTACACGATATAAAAATATAATAAATATAAAACTACTATATAAAACATTAATTATTAAAACAAACACATATTTTATTTGATATAAAACACATCACTATAGAAAATGTGACTGTGAAAAAGGGGGATTACCCAAATTACCCAAATACCTGAAATTATTTCAATACAGGTTGCCTCCCCACATCCTTTTTTTAACATCTTCACATACTGCCTGTGATATTGAACTTGCAGAGCTTCTGTACACATACATGACTCTCTGCCAAAGCAGAGGCTGCCCTAATCACTTTCATGGTAAAAATGCACTAAGTTCAAGGTCTGAGGCGCTCACGTCAACACGGATTTAAATGGCATTGGCTTTGGCTTTCATCAAGTGCCATGTGTGTGCTAGAGATGCTGGGTTGGGGCAAATGTTATGAAGCAACTTTTTATCCATTTTTGCCAGGGACCCTGCCTCCATCAATCCCTCTTGAATAAAATACTTATTCCATTTAGCCTTGTCATTGCTAACCCAACTTCTGCTCCGTCACACATGAATGCATCTTCTTTAAAACAGAATATTTCAAGTGTGCCAAGTTAAAATAAAGCTAAGCAAGATGCATGCTAATCACAAGCTGAATGTAATCTCCTGGTGTTCCTCTTCCCATTTTCCTCTTTTTCCTTGCTTGTATTGCATAAGGAAAAGACTGTAAGCTCACCAATGCAGAGCCTTCTCAATTTTAACAAAGCATGCCTTCATAGCAGTAGACATAATAGCATAAGAAGGAACCCTTCCTTTAAAACTAGACTGAAATAGTCTTTAATGATTTTCAGTAATCTCAATTGTAACGATATTTTAGAAATGCAAACTATTTTTGCCTTACATGTTATATGATAGTAAGTAGAAATGAGTCTTGTTTTACCATCACATTTGATAAATATAGTTCTTTTGGGATTTTTCTCATGCCAGTAACTATTATTCTGTGTCAGAGATTAAAATACGGTACGTGTTAGTTTTTCAGATTGTTAATAATATATATTGCATCTTAGTTTGTGACATTATGTGAGCAGACTTCTACTTAAGCAGGAGGGTTTTGTTTTCTTTCCTCTTGAATGCTCTCTTCTGGAGCAGAACTAGAGGGTTTGCAGGGGAGTGCAGTGGGGAAGTGAAATTCAGTGTTACCATCGTATCCATTCTGCTGGTGGAAACCCACCATTTAATTTAGAATATTTCAATGGAAGTATGCGTGCACCTTTAAACAATTCTAATTGTATCATGTGAAATCTGTTACTAAATTATTTAAATGAAGTCCTTGAACTCTAGCTTTGTGGATGATCTTTCTACCACTGCTTTCTCCTATAAATAATATATCTTTGAAATTTAGGAGCCTCCTTTAATGCAGAAGACATATGTTGATCCTAAACACTGCCGAGTTGCAGCACACCTTGATGACAATGTGAGTGTACTGTTTTGTTTTAAGCTGAAATCAGTTCTGATTTTACACTAGTTTATTGTATGGTCCTTGTCAGTGAATAGCTGCACACATAATGAGTTAAATGCTGAAAAATGTAGACTTTTTTTTCTGGAACCTACATAAATATTATTTATGTGTGTGCAAAGGTATTGTTGATGCACAGGGGGATTTTTTCTTCAAAACACTGACCCCCGTATGTTATGTCAAACTATTTTTGAAATGCCTTCAGTTTCAAAAACTGTTTCTCATGTGGAATGGGCAACTGCTTTTTGAGAAACAAAAGCACCAAACTCCTCTAGACATGCAGAAGGAGTTGAACAGTTCTTTAGATCCCAAATTGTATAATTTGATGCTAAACATTATTTTATACCCCAGTAGCTTCCAACTTTCTGACTAATTCCATGATAGTTACATAAAAATGATTACATCTATTAAGATGTCTAGGTCTGTGATACACACATGTTCTGGTTATAGACCCAGATCAATGTTTTATTAGACCTAAGATTTTGCAGCGTGTTTGTGTGTGCAAGAATATGGTACATTTAAAAGGCTAAGCTTCTGGTGTTCTCATAAGCTTGGCAATTCCTAAGTGTTTTGATTGAAACACTGATCAAATATATGAAAATCAGTTGAAAAGATCTTTTATCTTTAATGAGGACAGAAGGACCATAAGATTACCAGTGATTATATGGAGATTTGTCATGGTCATATATCTGCACCTGTTCTACACATTTTTTACTTGCCACATCAAAGCATTCCAATTTTGTTTCTCTGTACTGACGGCTACTGTGACTTTGGTAAAATGCTCTTTCTCTCCTCCACTCCAAGCACGACATTTTTCATGTTTTGCATTTTTAAAGAAAAATGTCATGAATATTGTCCAACTCCATATCTGTTTTATTTCTGTTATACCTAACAAACATATGTGTTAGGCTTATAAAGGAGTGTGAGAGATCATATACATTCAAATACAGGTAAAATAAAATTTCCAAAAAGCACAATTTACTTGCTAGTCGTTGCACTGAGTTTGTATTACAGCATCTCTCAGCTAATTGTATTTGCATGACTATCTCATATAAATGGTTATGTAGGATTAAGTTTTATACAACTTTTTAAAAATGGTATATTATGGTTTGCTAGTGTTCCAACAAATTTTTATTTGAAAAATTCCAAGGATCCATTCAGCAAGGATCCATGCAGTCAAATGTATTTCAGTTTCTTCGTTGCTATGCAGACTTTCATAAGTCATTTGAAACTAATATGAACTGAAAAACCAGCTTGAACGATGAGGTATGTTATTTACAAGAGGGAAAGAGTCAAAATTCCAGTGGTTGAGTTCAGGGATATTTAGAGCAGCTGTTGGATCTTTGGTAGACTCCAACCATGTATTCACCGATCCAGTGTTTCATCCAACCCATTGAACCTAATCCAGTGCTTGAATGGATGCATTCCAGTACTCTTACAGTTTTTTTTTTTTTTTAGCTAAGTAAGTGCTTCATAGCTTGGGTGGTTGTGGTAAGCATTACTGAAGTCGTCTGTGGAAGATTATGTCTTTGTCTTTCAATAATAGTAATTATATTAAATAATGCATTCATTTCCAATTTCCTAGGTTGAAGACAATGTTCCTCTTAAAATAATGCTGCTACTCATGGATGAAATATTCGATCTGAAGGAGAGAAATCAGTGGTTACGACGAAATATCAAAAACTTGCTTCAGCAGCTTATTAGAGCAATGCATGGATATACAATAAATAAGTACTACCTTACATCTGTAATTCTCAAAAGTCTATGTGTTGTATGAAATGCATGTCAAAAGCTAACCCTTTTCCTGTTTAATTGCAAAAAATGAAATTTGAATTACTGTGTGAATATGGGTTTTATTATTCTGGGCCTGCATAGAAAGCTAGTTTGGGGGTGGGGAATCTCTCAACTGTGGGGGGCTGGGAACCTTCCTTAGACCTGCAACGTGACTTGAGGCAACTGGGGCTTGGGAGAAGATGAATCCTCTTCTTTTTTCTGATCTAAATTCAAAGATAACTAAGGCATTTCCCGGCACACCATTGAGTGGCACACAGGGAAATCATTGTGTTGCCTTGGATTGCAGATTAGAGATAAGGACGTTTCCTCCACCCACGACTTGCAGAAGCCAATTCTGCAAGTGTCTGCTGAGTCGCTTTCCTTCACCCAAATTTCATACACTAAACAGGGCATGGACAACATATAAAGGAGGCACCCAATGTGGCTGGTTCTTGCAGGAGTTGTTTTCCCTTCTGTTGTAATTAGGTCCCAATAAGGATAGTATGCATTTAATTATTCATCTATTTATCTCATTTTTATACTGCCCCATAGTCCACTGGTTCTCTGGACAGTGTACAGTTTAAAATAATATACACAATAAAATTTATATTAAAAGAGAATAAAACCCATAAACAGACAACAATACCAAGTCATCAACATTGCAGCATTAAAACTTAACCTCTTGGTACAGCAGCAGATAATAAAACCCAAAAATGGTTCTGTGTGGATCAACAATTAAAATTACTAGAAAATAAAAAGTTTTCACCTGGTGCTGAAAGAATAACAAAGATGACACCTCTCTGGGGAGCATGTCCCAGAGTCATGGTGCCACTACAGAAAAGGCCCTTCTCCTAATTGTTACCCTCTCACTTCTTTAGGAGGTGTTTCCCTGAGAAGGACCTTAGAAGATGATCTTAAAGAAGGGGTAGAAACATACAGGACAAAGCATCCCTTTAGATAACGTGTTCCCAAGTTGTTTAGGGCTTTGAATATTATATTAAGCACTTGGAATTGGGCCCTGACACCAGCGGGCAGCCAGTGCAACTGATGACTTGCCTGTCAGAGTGAGCAGGTGGCTTCTTCAAAGCTGTCTTCTAGAATCAGCTTTCTGCACATACTTGCTTCCTACCTTATTTTCTTGTTAGGGTACCATCAGTTTTCACATTATTGTTATCTGTCTTTATCAACCAACTTGCCTGTGAAGTTTTCCTGTTTCCTTGAGTTTTCCCCAACCAGGAGCACTTCAGTTGTTTTGGACTTTAACACCCATTAGCTTCAGCCAGCATGGGCACTGATCAGGAATGCTGGGTATTATTGTCCACAACATCTAGAAGGCATCAGGTTAGAGATGGGTGATTTACTGAAGGCAGAGCAACAAGCCTTCTGGAATCTTTGAGAATCATTGTCATGTGTGTTGGATTTGGATAGTGGGGTACCTGGAATCCCTACTTAGTTATGAAGCTTATCTGTTGGGATTGGTTTGTCAGTGACTGAATTTGTGCATATGGCTTATTAACCACCCCAGCATATGCCAGATAC